CAACTACTCACCGCTCAAAAACAAACCGATTCCTTCTCGAGTTCGAGCGCGAAGGAGATCGGCGCTTCATCCTCAACAACGGGCCCTAGACATTCAGGAGTGACCCGTTCTTGATGGTGGCGGTAGACAGGAGCGTCAAGCCGGGTGATGTGGAGGTGGCCCACATGCTGATCTGGGCACACATTTTTTATGCACCGCCGATCACGTTCTTCGCCCATATGGCCCGTGAAATCGGGGCAAGGCTTGGTGAGGTAATTGAGGTGGATTCGGACAGTGAGGGGAGGATCTGGGGAGAATCCATCCGTATCCAAGTCAAGCATGATGTAGATGAGCCGCTTCGTAGCAAATTAGGGTTCCATATATCATGCAAAGAATGAGGTGTATTTCCTCAATGTAAAATATGAGAGGCTCCCCCGTTTCTGTTGCTTTTGCGAATACCTTGGGCATGGCTAACGCGAATGTAAGCTGCCCACTAAACTCCAATAGATGAATTTCTCGGCAACAATGCGTGCCTCCCCCTTTAAATGAATTAGCACTAGGGGGGGGGGTTGTGGTGCCTGAGGCTAGTACTGCTAGCCGTTTTCTTCTTTTTGAGCTCGAAGCGACGGAGATAGCAAAAACAACACTAGTGGGGCTACCGGCAGCGAGGTACTGAGATGTGCCAGAGGAAATCCTCAATAATCCACTTGTGCAGGCGGTGATAGATGTCGTTAGCGCTATCAAGATCAACGTGGTCAAGGCAGGAACATGCATTCAAGAACAACAAGACAAAGCCACACTCCCTACAAAGGCAAACGCAGAGTGTACAGGAGAGGGGATCAACACCAACCAAGCACTTTGCATGTATGCACCTGCTGGACGCACTAAGGGTTGATACGTCTCCAACGTATCTATATTTTTTGATTGTTCCATGCTATTATATTATCCATCTTGGATGTTTTATATGCATTTATATGCTATTTTTATATGATTTTTGGGACTAACCTATTAACCTAGATCCCAGTGCCAGTTTTTGTTTTTCCTTGTTTTTGAGTATTGCAGAAAAGGAATACCAAACGGAGTCCAATTGACCTAAAAATTTACGGAGATTTTTTATGGACCAGAAGAAGCCCCCGAAGCAAAAGAGTTGGGCCAGAAGAGTCCCGAGCCAACCACGAGGGTGGAGGGCGCGCCCCCCTACCTCGTGGCTGACTCGGGGACACTCCTGACGTGAAACCGACGCAAAAAATTCCTATAAATACAGAAACTTCTAGAATAGAACCAAGATCAGGAGTTCCGCCCCTGCAAGCCTTTGTACCACCAAAAACCAATCGGGACCCTGTTCCGGCACCCTGTCGGAGGGGGGATCCATCACCGGTGGCCATCTTCATCATCTCGGCGCTCTCCATGACGAGGATGGAGTAGTTCACCCTTGGGGCTGAGGGTATGTACCAGTAGCTATGGGTTTGATCTCTCTCTCTCTCTCTCTCTCGTGTTCTTGATTTGGCATGATCTTGATGTACCGCGAGCTTTGCTATTATAGTTGGATCATATGATGTTTCTCCCCCTCTACCTTCTTGTAATGGATTGAGTTTTCCCTTTGAAGTTATCTTACCAGATTGAGTCTTAAAGATTTGAGAACACTAGATATATGTCTTGCATGTGCTTATCTGTGGTGACAATGGGATATTCACGTGATCCACTTGATGTATGTTTTGGTGATCAACTTGCGGGTTCTGTGACCTTGTGAACTTATGCATAGGGGTTGGCACACATTTTCGTCTTGACTCTTCGGTAGAAACTTTGGGGCACTCTTTGAAGTTCTTTGTATTGGTTTGAATAGATGAATTTGAGATTGTGTGATGCATATCGTATAGTCAAACCCACGGATACTTGAGGTGACATTGGAGTATCTAGGTGACATTGGAGTATCTAGGTGACATTAGGGTTTTGGTTGATGTGTGTCTTAAGGTGTTATTTTAGTAAGAACTCTAGGGCTGTTTGTGACACTTCTAAGAATAGCCCAATGGATTAATCGGAAAGAATAACTTTGAGGTGGTTTCGTACCCTACAATAATCTCTTCGTTTGTTCTCCGCTATTAGTGACTTTGGAGTGACTCTTTGTTGCACGTTGAGGGATTGTTATATGATATAATTATGTTATCATTGTTGAGAGAACTTGCACTAGTGAAAGTATGAACCCTAGGCCTTGTTTGGAAGCATTGCAATACCATTTTCGCTCACTTTTACCACTTGCTACCTTGTTGTTTTTATATTTTTAGATTACAAAAACCTATATCTACCATCCATATTGCACTTGTATCACCATCTCTTCATTGAACTAGTGCACCTATACAATTTACCATTGCATTGGGTGTGTTGGGGACACAAGAGACTCTTTGTTATTTGGTTGTAGGGTTGTTTGAGAGAGACCATCTTCATCCTACGCCTCCCACGGAATGATAAACCTTAGGTCATCCACTTGAGGGAAATTTGCTACTGTCCTACAAACCTCTGCACTTGGAGGCCCAACAACGTCTACAAGAAGAAGGTTGCGTAGTAGACATCAAGGTTGTCGATGTGGGAAGTGTGGATCAGAGCCTGAGCTAGCTTTGGCCCTGATCTTCAGGCTAGCCTGCAACAGGTGGCTGCATCGGGCCCTGCAAAAACATGGTTGGTGGCCTCTGGGATGAACCAAGACGCCATGATCTCCAAAGGTGTAAAGACAACGACCGGTGTCCCTAGGGAAAATGATGGTCCAAACACCGGAGCTACTGAGGTAAAGAGGCCAATAGAGGACCCAGGCATGCTGAATGCAGATGAACAGGTACACCTAATGAAAGAGAGTACATCAGGCATGGGTTAGACCGTGGATAAAGAGCTTCAGAAGAGTGACCCGGGCAAACTGCAGGCTCCAGCGGAAGAGGATTCCGGCTGGATAAATCTGTACTGGGCAAAAGAGGTAGTCGAGGAGAAGCATCAAAGGGAGAAATAAGGATAGTACTGGGTGAGGCTGAGATAAAACAAAAGAAACAAGATAGGGGCACAAGAAAGGATGCGATGGAGACCATTGGTGTGTCAGGTGGACAGGAAGCGACCGGCCATGGGGCTGTCAGCTTACTAACGGGCGCTAATGGCGGTGCCCGTCAGGGACCATGACAGTCCTAAGTTGGAACTGTCATGGTTTAGGGCAACCCCAAACAGTTCAGGAACTTGTGTGTTTAGTGCACACATACAAGCCCAAGCTTGTGTTCCGCTCTGAGACGATGCAAAGAAATTCGTATGTCAATAAGTTAAAGTGGAGGATTGGCCTCAGGCATTGTATCACGCAACCCAGCATCGGCAAAGGTGCGGGTATTGCGCTATTTTATGATGAAAGCGTCGGAGTAATAAAGCTTGCTATTGGCACGAGGTATATGGATGTGCTGGTTCGTTTAAATCCTTCTAGCTTGTAATGGCGGTGTACTTTTGTCTACGGACAACCGATAGCTAATGAAAGGCAACACATGTGGGAGTTACTAAGAAGAATCAAGAGTAATTAAAATGTTGCATGGCTGATGATGGGTGATTTTAATGAGGCGATGTGGCAGTCAGAACAAATATCATGCTCGAAGAGGCCACAATGGCTCATGGAGAACTTCCGTAAAGTCTTGTCTGACTGTAACCTGTTTGATTTGGGTTTTAAAGGCCCTTGCTAGACTTTCGACACTAAGCAAGAGGGTCGGGAAAATGTTAAAACAAG